TATTATATATCAGTCAATATAAATTGTACAAACATGGTCGTACTAAGAATAAACAATTGTAAATATATGAAAAATTCAAACCCGAGATCGATTAAGGAGAACTCCAACGAATATAGAATAGTACTGTAAACGTTAGCAGGTTGACATGTCTTATTAACTATAAGATCTCCTCATGGACCAATGCTCCACATAGATTTACGTAAGAAAAAATTGTTTCAGATTTTAGTACCATTAATTAACAATCTAAGAAAGGGTAAATCATACTTAACATACCAATGCAGTACATAGGATGATAAACACCCCGATTGATACCACGGAAGTTTGCACAGCATAGAAATTTAGAACCGTTCACTGGTTCTATCTTTCTAAACAAACTCGCTTCGTTGAACTTGATTGTGTACTTGTGCTTTGTGGTTCTATAAAGCTGAAAACCCTTCTTATCTTAAAATTGAGTATCTCTACCCAGTCACATTCTATGAGCTCAATCTCGTTAGGTAGAGACAAAGCATAGCTTAAGCTCCCTTCAATTGTTACTGCCTGTTTAAAACAAATAGTGAGTTCATAATTTAGTATAAATGTGATTTATAAGACGTTCATTAAAATATAAGATAACTTACTTTCGAATCTCCTAAGAGCATGGTTGAATGATGATCTCTTCCAATTTTCGTACTCCATTTTCTAACTATCTTAACACGGATTGCAGGGAATTGAATCTTAGTATTCAACTCACTCAAAGAGATGAAGTTAACCATCACGCAAAAAATGTAAGAGATTCTTCTATTATGTGTGTTTTTAGGTTTAGTTAGGATGCTTAGCGTAAAGTACATATATATATATATAGGTTTCTTCTGAACATTAAAAGAGATTTAGCAAGATATTTAGTCGATATATTGGTCGGATCGTAATAGGCAGTTTTTGGTATATAATTCCTAAATGCATATGATTAAAATCTCCTATATATTCCATTTTTTAATTCATAAATTTACTTTCTTAGTAGATGAATATTATCTTCCTTAAGTATAGTAATGGTCTGCTTTTCAGGAAATATTTACATCTTTTTGTCCCAAATAAGGATATCTCTAAAATGGTGTATCTAGGAATAGAACACAATTCAGGAAAGATAAGTGCATTAATTTGCTTGGGAGACAATTCTGACTATTTATTACAGCTAACCAAAATAAAAATCAAGCGATTAATCTTTAATCAAACCGTCTAATATGATTTACAAATTGAGAACCAATAAACCAACTAATATAGATTTAATAAATGTGTACATTTAACATATTTTCTTCTCTTGATGAGAATGTTCGAATGCTGATTAGGTAGTTATAAGGGGTCTCATGCGTTATCATACTGGGCGGAACCTCATAGCAAAGGTAAGTCTAAACACAAGTTTATTTCAATTTTCAAACATTGATAGTAACACAAATTATGTGTGCTTCTTTTATATTTCGTAAATACTAAATAAGTTTTATAAGTTTATTAGAATGTTTGGTGTTTCTGGGGGATAAAATTTTAAAAATAATCGAAACCTTGTGTCTTGATTAAAATATAACTATGAGCTAAAGATATAACTCTCAAAATTTAAGCAATCATAGTAATAAAGTAAAACAAACTAAATATTAAATATAAAAGAACAAAGTAAAAAAAAAATGGACATAAAAATCCCATTTTTCTTTCGTCACATTCTTTAAGTATCTTCCTTTAAAATCATTCTCGATAGAATGGAAGCTTGAAATATATACGGGATTAGTTAACATTAGCAATTATAATATAACACATATTTTTACTAAGAATCACATCTTCCCTATTATGCAAAACTTACGTTGTTTTGAAATATTG